GAGCAAAAAGGTTGGGGAACCAGGAGCAGACCACGCCATAATGTCGTCATGACAGACGCGGCCATAAAAGATAATTATGATTCCGGTAATAGGTTTTATTTTTCGCATGTACCTCTTTTGTTCATGGGCACAGCTCCCGGTTGCCCCTGCACCACATTCGCAACCGGGTGGAAAAACCATTGCCAAAGGCCTTTGCTGTTGTTGTTCTAGTTGGCGTTGTGGTGGGGTGGTGCTGGCACAAAGGTCGACCTCGGTGGCTGCCCGTCTCCGTCTCCGGCCGACTTGCTGTGTCTACATTTACTTTTCGGGTGACCAACGTGGCATAGAAATTATGCGCATTATACGCGTCGCGCTCCAGCGCCTCGCTAAAAAATTATATCCGCGGAATTATGCGAGCCACGGTGGAAAATAAAGAGGATATAGTGGGTACAAGAAGGCGATAAGGGATCATTTTTACATACCCTTTTCCTGCTTAACAACCTGAATAAAAGTTGTGACCATCCAGGACAAGGCAATCTGAAACCTTTCAACTTATATGTGTTCTTTCTTTAAATATGCTTGAATATATCTTCTTCTTCAAATAAATATCAAATGAATTAAATAACATTTTAATCCAATCGCATTTAATATTTCGCATTTTTCCCTAGTCAGTTAAAATCCGTTTAACAAAACATAAAAATGAAAGGTCCTTGACCTGTTTTATATTACGTAATAAACTAGTAATAGTTGTTCAATCGTTGCTCCCATTGATCATTATTAAGCCATTGCAGAAGCCCAAGAGGAGTTACATTCTCAATTAGCAGCCCATCAAGGGGTAGCACTTTTCGGAGTTGGGGGAACAGATAAGTAGGAAATGAATGCCGTGTTTGCTATTCTAATGAAGTTGTCACGCTTATGAAGATTAATGCCACCTTGGCGCTCAGTTCTCATTTGGCTGGATGGATGGATTCGCTGTTTGAAGTTTCCCAGCTTGAAGTTGCCAGCCAGCCAGCAGTTTCCCAGTCAATCGCTGGCAGCGGGAGCTTCCTAACAAAGAGTAATTGTCCCAACATGATAATTGCTTTAATGACGAATGCAAAACGAAGCGGGGCTTCTGGATTTGATTAATGTGCTTCGCGGCAATTGACCCAGTTTTCAATTAGGAGCAGGAGTGACAGGTTTTAAGTTGGCCTGTTCAAAATCCACACCCCCTGGGCGTCTAACCCATGCTAAGAGTTCAAACAAGGAAGAGCTGAGGGAAATAGGGAAATGGCAGTCCTGTTGATGTCTAATGGAAAACGTGTGCGGGCATAAAAATGGCCGCTAAGAAAATGCATAAAAATGTGTGCGAACTTGTGAGTGTTCGTGTGCGTAAGTGTGTGTGTGTGTGTGTGTGCTTCTCTTCAGCAAAAGAAGGACATGCAAGGCCAAACGGAAGTCACACACGCTCGCTTATCGGGCAAAGTAACTTTTCCCCAGCAAATGCCAAAGTCCATAAAATATTTTTACACACCAGATCTGGATCTGTAGATACTCCTTCGGTCTTCTCCAAACTGGAGCAGGAGCAGGAGAAGGAGGAGGAGCAGAGTCCTGCGAATGGGGACGGCATGGCGCATACCTACACGTAACTGGATTTCTAAGGACCACGGAACTGTGGCCAAATTGTTTACACAAGTCATAAGCATTTTTTAGCGAACCATCGCCTTGGACGTTTGCTCGCTGTCTGTTTGCCAGTGTATAAAAGTCCTGCTGAGCATTTGCATAAACCTTTTGCTTTCTGTTTGCCTAGCCCATTATCCACCACCACCACCAGTTACTGCTACTACCACTCCACCAAAAAAGTTTTCACAACTGCAATAATCATAACTGCAACCGCTCGACATTGATTTCGAATTGGAAAGGATTGGCGGGCGGACCGCTGGGCGCCATTAATGGAGCATTGTTTCACAAGTCGTTCCGACGCGAACCCGAGTGTTCAAATTTCCGCTTGATTTGAGCTTAGTGGCCGGCCCATAAAGCATGGCCAAACTTTAGCAAGTGGCGAGCATTCAAAGTTTAAGCGTTTTGAGTTTTATGCTCGCAATGGAATTCAGTGGGTCAGCAATTGTAATTGATATGCTGTTGAAGGTGCCATCGAAATACGAACACCCAAAAGTGCATTTACTTTTGTGTATTTAGGTGTTCGAAATGGTTAAATCGTTTGAGGGATGATCTGAGATTCTGAGAAGGCAACTCCCCAAGAACTGACTGTCTGAAGTAAATAGGTTTTGTGGTCCTGACATTTTAGGTTAAACGATATTTTGTACCGTGACATGTTTGCCCGTCGCTGTACTCACTGATTTTGATCCATGCGCCAATGATTGATGACACTTAATTGATGAACATCCTCCTGCCTTCGTTTGATTTGGAGCCGGGGGAGAACTCTGGGCGGCACAACAATGCCTCGAGCAAATATTTGCCCATGTCTGGCTTAAAGTGGCCCGAAAGCAGCTTAAAGGTCCGCCCAGCTGTTGACAGCGAACCCGTAAAGCCAACCCGGAACCGTCTACGGTCACGGACATAAACTTGGTGGCTGGACGGCTGGACGGCCGGACATTTTCCAGGTCACAGGTGCTTTTGTTGTCCGCATTAGATTTGCCTTCCGTTTCCCCACCGTACACACGCACCCACCCACACGTTTCTATATAGAAACGCACACAAATCTCTGGACCTTCGTGCATTTGGTCTTTTTGTTTGGCTGCTCTGTCCATTTGGCTGTAAAATTTATTTCATTTGTCCAACACCCCGACCCCGCAAAAGGCATGACGCTGACAGTTTTATGGCAAAGTTAAGCCGATATCAACGGCAGGACATATGACCCGGACCCCCATCCATATTATTCGCCGGCATTGGCCGCTCCATAAAAGTGTAAAATTTAAAGCCTTTTTTGCCATACCTTGGCACACACACAACAAGTGGGTTCCCCCATACAAAACGGTATTTAGGTTTTGCGCAAAACCCTTTCATTGGACTCACTCATGGCTGAAGCAGATAGCAATTGTTCAGCAATGCGAGCATTAACCAATAAGAATCGCATGGTCCAGTGCTTCGGTTGGGAGATACCCGCTTACTATTTACATTATTCAACTTTTTAGCAGCGAAATTAATAGGCGTTTTAAGGGTAAAGCCATCAATTAATAATATTCAAATATATTAAATGAGTAAATAAAGAAATATAACTAAGGTGACTGCATGATCTTGAAATTTATAGACATTTGAATACAAGTGAAATGATTTGCATTCGAGAATTTTGTCAAACTTGAATTGTAATCAATCTTTTGAATTAAATGTAACATAGCTATTGTTTTGGGAAACAAAAAGCGTTATGACTTAACTTTCCTTAAAAAAAAATAAGGGTAAAATGCTATTTATTTAAATCAAAAACCTTGGCTTCTGTATTGCTTTATCTTGGTTAACAAGTGCTTTAAACAATTTTAGAGCACAACTTTTGCTACTCAATACTAAGGATTCCGAGAACTTGCAACCAGCTTCTTAAGTCTTTAAAGTATTATTTTATTAGTAAAATATACTAATGAAATTTTAATTGAAGTACCAGTTCAGTCTACAATATCAGGCCGCATGTCTCGGCTGTAGCTCCCGCAGAACTCCTGGAACCATACGTAGGTACTGAGCTTATTATGGACAACAGGGCCCATGACGAACAATGGGATGGGCATGGGGCCGGGACTTTTTCCGCTGTTGTACAAATCCGAGGTCAACTTGACGTCGATCATTATGGTGGCATGGAGCATGTAAAGAAGTCCGCAGGTCAGCGACGAAATGGACTGAGCCCGCATGTAGTAGGAGAACTGGTGAATGGGAACGAGCTCGTTGTATTCATCCTTTACCTCCTCGACAGAGGTATCGAAAAACATATGAAACTGACGCTCTGCGTCCCACATCGTGGTCAACGATACCAGGATGAAGGCAAAAGTGCCAGCCAATGACTTCCAGATCTCCAAGCAAACGCTGGGCTTGTCACCCGTGCAAATCGCGATGCTCTGGAAGGGGGTCCAAACCATGAACATGTGGAAAGTTAGCATGTATATATATTGGATCCCCTCTCCATCCCAGCTAATGGTTTCCATGCCCGTTATGTGATATCCCATGCAGAACATGTTGAACACCGTTTCCAGGGTGTAAAACAAAAATAGCACTGGGCGCAGGGCTTCAGGTGGAGTTAACTGGAGATCAAGTTCAGCAGACGACTGCCATCCCCGTCCGCGGAAAAAAGAATTAACGGATCTATTGATCATGGACGACATGATCAGGATTTGAATTTTTGTGGGTACAAAATATATCAAACTAAAGTGTTTTTTCTGTAATTGTGAAATGTAAGCCAATGAAGTATACAAAAAAAAACTGAAGTAGTGTCATATATACTTTGAAAACAAATTTGTTTTCTAGACCAACAAGTTGCAGAGATATATTATTATTTTAAATGTTTGGTAGTTGGCAGGACTTACAATTAACCAACTTTAAAACCTGAGCACCAATTTATGATTTGCGTCTGTGCTGATTGATACAAATAATGCTTGGCATTACTTAACTATTTACAGACCATACTCTTTTATCTACAAGCCCTCATTCGTTTAATGTACAAATATGCTACGTATGTTCTGTATTTATTTGTCAATAATAGATTACAGCAGAATGGGACTAGCTTTTCCAGCTATCAGCACTTTTGAGTGGGTAATTCCCCCTTTTGACCATTACAGACACTAAATAGACACTTGCCGGTGGTCAGTGATCTCGGCGAGCACGTTCTTTCTATGACGCAGCTCAATTGGCGAGCACGTAGCGCCAACGCGTTACTTTTGTTCCGGTACTCTTGGGTTAATTAAATCGCTGCGTGTCGCTATCAATGCGCTGCTTATCAGCGGGCCAAAGAATCGCTATAAACGGAAAACGGTGAATATTTATCTCGGCCCGATGTTAACTTGCCAACTTCGACGGTTTTTGGCTATGACAGTTGGCGCTGGCACGTAGACCCAATTGGAACCCCGGACAGAAAGGTACCCAACGATGCGCTCTTCCAAGTGGCTGCTTCCGCTGATGCTGATGCTCCTGGTGCTGCTCCATCACCAGGTGAAAAGTGAAGAGAGCCACTGCACCTCGGTGGCGGGAATGGTCAAGTTGCTCGATCTGGAGGCTCAGCTTATCGATAACCTGGCAGATTACGCCGGCGAACTGGAAGAAAAGCTAGAGAATGTAAAAAGGTGCGTAATAATCTAGCCCATATCTTATCTCTACGAAAAATTGTTAAACATTTATAACATATTTAAACTAATTTAATTGTTTTTATTTAAACCCTAACAATCAACAAAGTTACCAATTTTGATTACTTTTCCGCTAAAGTAATGTCAATATAACAATTACTGTCACTCTTAAAAGGGGGCAAATTGGATTACAAGTAATAAAAGAACTTAAGACTATTTATAACCATTACAAGTTTTCTTATAGAAAAAAGAATTGTCTGTAATACATTTTTTCATCACAATGACAATTTTTTAAATTATATGTAAAAATCAAAAAATGTTTTATTTTTTTTTAGAAACATTGCCAAAATGCGATTGGAAAACGACAGAGCTCGAAGCTCTACTGAGGAGTATCTATCCAATCCCCTGAACTCGTTTTCCCTGATCCGCCGCATGAATCGTGACTGGATGATGTGGCAGCTCTACATGGACGATCCAGTGGGTCTGTCGCAGGTGGAGAAGGTCCAGGAGCTTAGAGAGCATATGCCCACTAATACAGATGTGGAGGAGGCTGTGACCGCCTTGGATCGCATTCAAAGCACCTATGGCCTTAAAGTGGCTCACATTGCCCAAGGGCTGCTCAATGAAAAACAGTACAAGTAAGCTATAATAGTTTTATATTGGTGAGCTGCACAAACTAATATGTTATTTTTACAGTGTGAGTCTAAATGTTTTGGACACTTATGCCATGGGTCAAATACTCTTTGATCAAAGCAGATATTGGGCAGCTGCTGGCTGGCTGTATCAGTCGATAGTTTTGATGGAGCTTAACACACTTACAGCTCCCCTGGAGGTTTCCAAAAGCGAAGTTCAAATGGCCTATGCGGAAGTTCTGCTGAAAATGAGTAAGTTTTTCCAGGATTTCAAGGGGAATGCTTTTAATAGTAAACTCCAAACAGACCAGCAAGCGGATGCCCTGAAAGTTGTCAACATTGCACTGACTGATAAGCCGCATGATATTAAACTGTTGATGAAGAAGTCGGAAATTGAAACGATGATAAGGACGGGCACCAAAAATAATGTGCCGAAGGTATTGTCGACTGGCTGATAAGGTCGCCCACTCAGATAGGGCTTAAATTAACCGAAATCGAAACCATTTTAGGTTCAGCAGGGAGCTGTGGGACCGAATGCCTACCAGATGGGCTGTCGAGGTCAGTTCCCACCGTCCGCGGATGGGAGGCTCCACTGTCGCTATAACAGCACCACCTCTCCTTTTCTGATCCTCGCTCCTTTTAAAATGGAACTGGTGGGTCTGGACCCGTACATGGTGATCTACCACGATGTGGTCTCTGCTGAAGAGATTAAGGAACTACAAGGAATGGCCACTCCGGGTCTTAAAAGGGCCACTGTTTTCCAGGCCTCCTCCGGTCGCAATGAAGTGGTGAAGACCAGGACCTCCAAGGTGGCCTGGTTCCCCGATTCCTATAGCCCTCTCACTGTTCGCTTAAATGCCCGTGTCGCCGATATGACCGGGTTTAATCTCTACGGCTCTGAGATGCTGCAGCTAATGAACTATGGTCTGGGTGGCCACTACGATAAGCACTACGACTTCTTCAACCAAACTGTTAGTAATTATATTTCAGATGTTACAAGATTTACCATACATTTGCTTTCCTTAACAGAATTCCAATCTGACGGCCATGAGTGGCGATCGTATTGCCACTGTACTCTTCTATGTAAGTATATGTGGCCTTAAATTATATTTTTAAATCTTTCTTTTCTAGATTGTGATATTCAAAAATAATTTTATTTAATTGTTTTTGTATATATCCCCACCTTTAGCTTACGGATGTAGAGCAGGGCGGTGCCACGGTCTTCCCAAATATTCAAAAAGCTGTTTTCCCTCAACGCGGATCAGTCGTAATGTGGTACAACCTCAAGGACGACGGTCAACCCAATACTCAAACTCTTCACGCCGCCTGTCCTGTTATAGTGGGATCTAAATGGGGTAAGTCATTACCTATTTAAGCTTCAATCTGCGATACTAAATATTATATTCTTAACAGTATGCAACAAATGGATTCGAGAGCGCGATCAGCTATTCAGCAGGCCTTGCCTTAAAAAGTGAATGTGATTCTCAAGTAAACTAAAATTAGCAATGTAATATTAAACACCCACTATGAAACTCAATAAAGTGAACCCAAAATCAATCATGCTGTCAGTTAAACTCACATTACTCGCGATAAGAACAATTTGAAATCAAGAGGTATAATTAAAGGTGTTTTTACCCAAGACCATTCATCATAATCAAAATGTGGAAATACCTGTCACATTGCGGGGATATCAATGTTTATACATCAGCAATTATTTGACACTTAGCTTGCACCTTAATTCTAAGCTAACGAATTGTTATCTGTGCCTTTTAAGCAAATATGCTATGGTTTCAGAAATTAATTTAATGTGCAATAAAAAGTATTCTGCTTATCAGAAAGGGGGTACATCATCATTTTTTTCATAAATTTGAAAAACTGAACAATTTTTAACTGTAAATGCCATTTGATTGGCAATTTAATGATGAATTGACGTTCGATCTTTTGACCATTTCGCCATTTTTAATGTGAAAACGCAAAATTATTTTTTGTGTCAGAGTAGATCAAGCCACAATACTCTAAATACAAACAAATTTTGATAAGCTGTAGAATTTTGTATCACTTGAAGGAGTCACACGACTCTAATGAATGGCAAATGTATGCTAATATCAGGATTCGTCCTGCTTCTTTTGCTTTTTATAACATTAGCCGATGGAATAAGTCAAGGGCCCAAAAGCCATGCTTTTTCGGTGGCTTCAATGGCATCGCTTCTTGAAACTGAAAAGAGGCTAATCGACAACCTCGAAGAGTATGCCAATGCTTTGGAACAGAAGCTGCAGGTCTTTCGTGGGTGAGGAAATTACTGAGAAACAGATATAGTTTTTTCCAACTAACTCTTTTCTTAGCTATATCCCAATTATGAAGAAAGAAAACGAAAGTGGGCGTCTTCACACTATTTCCTACCTGGGCAATCCTATAAATGGCTTTTCACTCATCCGACGACTTCATCAAGATTGGCCCAAATGGCAGAAATACCTGAAACAGCCAGTGGGCATTGTTCAGTTAAGAAACTTTAAGGGCTGGAGGAAAGATCTTCCCCAGAAAGCGGACTTGTGGGATGCCTGTGCCGGCATAACCCGCATACAAAAGATTTATGAACTTAAAGTTGAAGACATTATCAGGGGTAAACTTAATGGCAAGCAGTACAAGTCAGTAACTTAGTACTTCTATCTTAAATATTTGATTACAATAGTTGTCTATTCTCTATAGTGCTTGCATGAGTTCTGCAGATATTTTTGCGGTGGGGCAACATTTGGCGAAGACAAAACAATCGACAGAAGCTGTTTTATGGTTGCAGGAGGTTTACTCTCGCCTCCAGGAGGAACTTCCGATTATTCCTGAGCACCTGTTGATTGGGGAGATAGAGGTCCTTAAATTACTGGCGGAAAACTATTTGGCAGAAGGTTAGTGGAACCTACCCTTAGACATAACAAATCTAATTTAAGTTTTCTAGATCTCCACTTAAAAGCCTTAACTTTACTTGAAAATGATCTAAAGCCTTACAAGCACAATGCTAAATTTTTGCGACTCTGGCAAAAAACAAAAGACCTCTTAAAAAGCCAGGATGAGCTTTCATTGAAAAGAAACAAACAGCCAGAAGGTCTGATGGCAAGGAACTTAATGTTGAGCTGTAAAGGGTTGCTTGGGGGATCAACTAGGCAGCACTGTTTATACAACTTCAGTACCACACCTTTTCTCCGTCTTGCGCCCCTTAAAATGGAGCAGATCGGACTGGATCCATATGTGGTGCTTTATCATGATGTCATTTACCCACAAGAATCGGCACAACTGATAGACCTTGCTGTATCGGGCTTACGCGTAAGCGGTACCGTCAAAGACAACGATTCAAACAAAAAGCGGATGAGGACTGTCAAGGCTCGTTGGGTGAAGAAGGAGTTGAACAAGCTGACTAGGCGCATTACACGGCGAATACGTGATATGACGGGCCTCGACCTCACCGATTCAGAAAAGTTTCAGGTAAGTTTTACACGAAATACACTGTTTTATGCTGAATTCATATAAATTTTCTTTGCAGATAATCAACTATGGTATTGGTGGACACTACAACATGCACAAGGACTATTTTAACATTACAACTACCCATGCTATGAAAAATAGCATGAGCGAACTCTTGGGAAACCGTCTTGCCACAGTTCTTTTTTACGTATTTGCATTTTAAATATAGTATTTATAAGAGTAATTCCATATTTCTAAATATCCGCAGCTGACTGACGTAGAACAAGGTGGAGCCACTGTATTTCCTGCATCTGGTTATACCATATATCCCCGAGCTGGAACTGCACTTTTCTGGTACAACCTACATACGGATGGGAATGGTGATCCTTCCACTTTGCATGCCGCCTGCCCAGTGATTGTGGGCTCAAAATGGGGTAACCTAAGTTGATATTATCAATCCTTATTAAAAGGGCTTTAATTAAAATATTTTGATAGTGATGAGCGAGTGGATTAGTGAACGGAGTCAGATGTTCCTCAGGCCCTGCCTTAAACTCTCACCATAAACAGGCAGCTTAAGAAAAGTTTCCTTAGTAAATTAAGTTTTCAAAAGAAATCACCTTGTTATATAAGCATGAATGTACCAAGTTATTTATAAAATATTTAAATACATGCTTGTAAATTGTTACTGTCAGATCAAAAAATACAAATATTTAAAATCTTTAAAAAGCAAGTAAGATTAAATTTTAATCGTTAATCTCTAAAACTGAAGCTAATACAAACTCTATATATCAAGTTGGCCTGGCTAAATACCTATTTACAAGCGTACATATTTTTAAAAATACATGGCGTTAAGAAAACAACAATGGATGCTTTTACGAGGATTTCTCGTGGCGACTTTATTTCTCACATCTCTGGCCTTTGGAAATAGTCCTGTCGAAAGGAGTCAATCGTTGTCATTGGTGACAATGCTGCCGCTGCTTGATTTGGAGTGGAAGCTGATCGAAAACCTCAATAACTATACCAAAGCACTAGAGCTAAAGCTGCATATTGTGCGCAGGTGAATATAATAGTCACATAATATCTCACAGTTTTAAATATTACACCATTTCTCAGTCATATCGACGTGATGCGTGCTGAAAATGAGAAAGGCAGACTGGATCCCATAGCCTATCTGTCCAATCCTCTAAATGGCTTCTCACTCATCCGACGATTGTATCAGGATTGGAGTAAGTGGCGCAAATACATGGAGCAACCAGTAGGCATCCTTCAGATCCAAAATTTGGACAACTTGCTGGTTGAGTTACCCTCGAAACTGGACTTGTGGGATGCTTGCGCAGGAATAATCCGCATTCAGAGCACTTATAATTTGGGAATAGGTGATTTTATCAGCGGTAAACTCGATGGAAAACAATATAAGTGGGTACCATTTATAAGTTTCTGCCTTTAAGTTATTGTTAATATTTTTGGGCCACCCATTAAAGTGTCAGCATGAGTTCTGCAGATATTTTTGCAGTGGGTCAGCATTTTGTAGAGGAAAAAAGTTCATGGGAAGCTATTCAATGGCTGCAAGAAGTGCCCCGACACCTTAAAAATGAACTTTTACCACAGCACCTGGCGATTGGCGAGGTGGAGGTCCTGAAATTACTGGCTGAAATGCACGTGAATCAAAGTAAGTTGTATCATCATTAGTTATGACAAATCTAAAAAAGGTATTCTAGAAAATTATGTCGAAGCCCTTTCTCTGCTGGATAATTGCTTGAAGCTCAAGCCCCACGATGCTGCTCTTCTGCGGCTCAGGCTTAAAACATTATGTTTTATAGAGAGACAACAAACTCCTGTTCTCAATGAAAACAAACCGCTTAAAACTCCATTCGTAGAAGAATATAAGTTGAGCTGTAGGGGAATATCCGAGAGACCAAGTAGACTGCACTGTTTCTACAACTTTACCACCACACCATTCCTTCGTCTGGCACCACTAAAAACGGAGCAGATCGGATTGGATCCATATATAGTGCTTTATCACGAAGTCCTTTCCAAACGAGAAATGTCATTGCTGATAAGTCGTGCCTCTCGCAAAATGAAAGTGGCCACAATCTATAAAAGTAATACGAAAAATAAAAAAAAAAAAGGGAGGACTGCCAAGGGCCATTGGTTTAATAAGGAAAACAACGAGCTAACCAGACGCATTAGTAGAAGGATTCACGACATGACTGGATTTGATTTGACCGATTCGGAAGAATTTCAGGTAGCTTATGTATAATTAAGTAAAAAAAAATAATTTCAATTGCCATCATCACAGTTATATATTTATGATAACTAATGCTCTTTAATTTTTCAGGTTATTAACTATGGCATTGGTGGACACTTTCACACGCACTCGGATTACTTTAACTTTGCCTCAGCTAATTTTACGGGACATCGTAATCGCCAGGCTACTGTATTGGGTGATCGCATTGCCACAGTGCTTTTCTATGTGAGGAGATATAATGAATAGTTCTTTGTTGATCCTTCAATATTCCCCCGCACTTCCAGTTGACTGACGTTGAGCAGGGTGGCGCCACGGTCTTCGAGAAAACAGGATATGCCGTATATCCGCGTGCTGGAACAGCCATATTTTGGTTCAACTTGAATACGAATGGGTACGGTGATCCCCGCACTCGACATGCCGCCTGCCCAGTGATTGTGGGATCCAAATGGGGTGAGTTCCGTGCCAATGATTAACCCGAAATTAAACCTAGCTTAACCCCTACTCTCGTGACAGTGATGACCGAGTGGATACGCGAATGGCGGCAAATGTTTATCAGACCCTGTTTGCCCCGCGCCACGGGAACCTCTTCGAAGCTGAACAGAACGAAATCATAGACAAACAAATTTCCGGCATAATCACTCTGCACACTTAACAAAAACCCACCCAGCTCAGCTTAAATGCCTTTTTAAAATGCCAACACGAAAAAAATAAAGTGCTGAGTGGTTGATAGTCCCTGATAGTCCGGGGGTGCAAGGATAAGGAGCGGCATCTGCTGCTCCAGGACCAAGGTAAAACCAAAGACCACCGCAGCCGCATTTTAGCATACTCCTAGGCGGACTCCTTCCCCGATTCCTCGATGGCGTCTAGTGTCTGACACCGCGTACGTGATGTGCAACTTAATGTTTCAATTAGAGGTGAAGTGGCGCCCGAGCAGGGGCTATCGTTATCGCTTCACTGCACTGCGAGAAACTACTAAATAAAATTGTATTATTTGGAATACAAAAAATTGTTGTCTCTTATCTCATTAATGTTATATTTTCCAGAACTCTTTAGTTCTCAGCAGTATTTTTATAAAAGACAAAATAAAATAAAATCTGTGCATAATTTTAATTTTTTAAGACTAGAAAATTAATAAAATAATATTTATTTTCATAGTCATTTTACAAAATGTAGGTAAAATATAAGAAGTTTTTGTTCAGTGTTACTTAATTTTTGCATGTGTATTTGGGTGTGTTTGCCAAGCTGGGATACGAGTATATCTCTATCAGTCTGTGCACTTATCTGCTTTTAAAAACTTTTAATAATGAACTCTCGCCCACCGCCAAGCGACGTGTTGGTGTCAGACCTTTGGCCCCCAACCTTTAAACCAGTTGACTCGGCAGTTTTGTTAGTTAAACCCAACGTATCCCATTCCCTTAATCACCTTTTGTTTGAGTTATTTGCATGTGCATAAGTTCGTCACTGTAACATCTACTTAATTTAAGGTTTTCCCTTGGGTAAAATAATAAATATTCTGCAAAAACCGAATACATCAATGACTTTAGCAAAATCTTTTAAGCAAAAGTAAGGTGGGGGATGCCAAAAGGTTGGCCGCCCAACACCTTTTAATAAAGCGCAATGCCAATAAATAAAAAATTGCCGACATATGCGAAAAAGTCCTGCTATCCCATCAAGTGGCCAAATGCAAACCCAGTCGGCCTGAGAGAATTTAGAGTGTCCTGTACAGGAAATCAAGGACGATAGAGGAATAACCCTTAAGCGAACCCAAGGAAGTCGCATATAGCCGCAGCCTCAAAGGAGTTGTACCTAAAAACGAATTTCGATTTGATTGTGTGCACTTTATGGTGTGTCCTCGGCCCAACCAACCTCCACTTTTCCACAGAGATGATTACATATGCGCAGACCAATAATTTTGCCCACAGCCCAAAGAGGAAAAAACGTATCTAACAAGGTTAAGAAATGTTCCGAAGCGGAGAGCATTGATTGTATAAATCTAGTAAAATGTTTTATATGCGCACCGAAGATGAATGGCTGAGTTGAGTGGGGGGCACGGAAAAAGGGTTGGCCGCCCACATTTTGTGGTCAATGAAGGAAATATGATTTGGATTTTGTTACTTTGATTACACACATTACATGCGAAAAATGAAAAAGTAGCAGCGCACAGCCCAGACAGACCGAAGGGGTCAAAACCGACTCTGTGTGTGTGCAACGTGTGTTAAATTTCAAGTTGCGGTCTGCCGTCGTAAAGCATTTGATAGGTTTCCCAGTCTTCGCGCAGGAAATTGAGTTTTTCTAGCAGCTGGCCGGGCAAAAAAAAAAAAGAAAATAATGTGAAAGAAAGAAATTCATGTCTCTGCCAAACTCAGGGTCAGCATGGGTAAATCGATAAGTTGCGTCGAGCTAATTTAAATTTAAATCTAGATATGCCACCGATCAGTCGATCAATCGATGGACCTGCCTTTCAACACCTTCATCGGCAAGGTGAGTTGTCTATTTATACCTGAACAAGTCACAGAAAAAAGAGACATTGCCCCCGCTATTCGTGGTGCAAAATACCTTTTGTTTAATTTGATTTGATAAAGACACCAACAATGATACAAAGCCGATATATCCATTATAACACTTTTAAAACCTTTTTTGAGCCAACATTTTAATTTTACATTTTTTTTTTCGTTAGAATTTAGTGGTTTTTAAATATATATTTTATTTTTTGGGATAGTAGTTCCTTACACAGAATTAAGAACATTTATTTTAAAATCCATTTTAATGTGAAATCAAAATTTGAGCAATCAATAATATACCCCATACCCAATGTCAGATACAAAACTAGAGTAGTTGAAGAAGTGACAAATTAGCCCCTGGTGTTCAACATTGTGTTCATTCCACCCATCTAGTTGACACTATTTTTGGGCAGTGTAGATTGATGATTCGATCGGAGGTGGTGACAGGTGCCAAGGCAGAGCATCGGGTGCAGTGCACCGGCATCGACCGATTCGATACTCGATGCTCGACGGACTCATTCGGCACCCTCGAATGCCGATTTGGGCACCGGGCATAAATTGATTAAATGCCAGTGGACGGGCGACGGCTCACAATCAATTACGGCAGGACGAATTTGACATGGGGGGAGGGAGTGATTGCATAATCTGGACAGTTGCATACAAATCGCAATCATCCTGGGACGTTCAGCCAACCAGTCAGGCAGTCAGGCAGTCAGCCAGTGAAAATCAATGCCAAAGTTGATTTACGTGTGCGGACGTCAATTGTCCTCCGCTGGAGCGAAACAGTGCCGAAAACCCCCAACAACTATGGCCATATCGAAATGATTTGGCCAGAGCAACAGAGAGCAGGGCCAATGACAAATGCAACTAAACGAATTATGTCTAATGGCATTTCAGGTTGAAATGCGATTAAAATGCAATTTGAAATGCAAAACATTTGCCCATTCCGAGTGGCAGTTTTGGTTCCATGGGCGGCGACACTTTAAGAGTTTTCCTGTCCCGACATCGCCATCGTCTGGCCTGGCTGTTGGCCAAAAGTTTATGTTTTCTGCTTTTTTTCCGAAGCAGCAAAACATTGTGTTTTCTGCCCTTCTGTTGCGGTCATGTCTGGGCTCCTACTCCTGCACCTGCTCCTGCTCCTGCTTTTGGCACCTGGCTGACCATTAAGGGGCTGCGATAGATTGACTTCAAATGTCTTAGAAAATCTTAAATCGCGCAGCCAAAATTTATGTGGCCCCGTTGGACAATTAAAACTCCATTGCGCCTCGGACAATGAAGCCAACCAGCCAGACAGTCAGTCACTAAGCGAAATCTATTTTCTGCCTGCCAAGAAATTTCCCGCAGCAAGTCTCCCATTTCTTGGTCTCAGTTCTCGCTACCTTTTGTCACCTCAGACTCAACTCAACTCAACTCGACTCGACTTCTACTTCTACTTCTACTTTTTCCCGCAACGACAACGAAGCATAATTTATGCGTTCGCATTGGCCGGAGAGACTGGGGACTTTACAGGGAATGGCTGGTAATGGAGTTGGTGTTGGATGCAATGCAAAACCTGGCCAGCGGACACATTTCTAGACAAGCGAACATGACAGCGACTATGTCGTCTGGGTCTCCTCTTTGTTCTGCGGTGGAATTTCACGTGGAAAAAGCGTAAAAATTATTTTAATTAAAGCAGCAGCAATAAAAGGGAAGATATTAAAAGAAAGTCGAATAGGAAGTGCTCTTCTAAGGGTTAATTAATATTAAATATTTATGCGGTTGAAATTATAAAATTTCAATTCACTTATTATATCTATTAACTTAATAAGAAACATTTATTGTCCAATAAAATATACACCAAAAGAGATGTACCAATTTTTTAAATTTTTTCACACCAGGAAATAGGGTTTCAATAAATTTTTAAATATTTTCCCAAGTCGTGAATGTTTATTATTATATATATGATGCTACAAATAGGTTTTAACTAATATTAAAAATAAGGAACAGGTTCTTTTTTAAATCTATAATTTTATAAAATACATGTTCTGTCAATATTATAGATATGTTGTTAACAAAACTGAGTGCTGCCTTCTTGACAACTTAAAGATACCCTTTTCCTTATAGAGTATCAAAACGAAAGAGTTGAGGCGACGGACAATGAACGAGGTGTCTTCCCCGGCGAAGAATAAAAAGGAGTCGTGGTCGGGGGACGGGAAAGTCGCTGCTCGATTTGCGCTCTGCATTTGTCATGATCTGTTTGTTTTGATGTATGGCCACGTGATTAATTTAGCCAGATCGTGGAGTTTTTGTGGCTCCGTGTCGCGAGCCCGTGATTTATTTCGCTCGATTTGCACTTTGTTAGCAAATCTCAGCCTGCTGAATGCGCTTATTTAAATTCATTTGCCCAACTGCCAAGTAAATGTGAATGTAATGGCACACGTTTCCCCCGATTTTCTCGGGCGACATATTGATTACGGTTTTTATGGAGCCATCACCTGCCATCCGCCCGACAAGTAATTTGCATATCTATGGACTATGGACTCCCCCAAAATAGGTAAAACAGGGCAAAATCAAATCAAGGCAAATGCTCGCCCGCAGATGCGACACCTTCTCGAGTGTATCTTTGTGTCTTTGTATCTGTATCTGTAACTGCGTCTGTTTTCGGTCTTTGTATCCGTATCTGTGCCGCAACAGCTGCACACACCTACACACAATTTGATTTTATGTTTGCACACGCAGCAACAATTTCATTGTTTGCAAAATAATTGCAAGCCTTCGCAGCAGCTGTGCCCGCAAATCCATCCACCTTCCTTCCCCTTTCCAAAAAAAAAAAAAAAACAGTATAGAAAAGTGGGTGGTACTGTGAGTGGGGAAAAAAGGCAGAATCAAATACGGATTTTCACTGGCAAATTGCTGGCAAAAGTAGTCCCAAACAATTAGCACGGAAACAATGGATGAGCCAATATTTCGGTTTGGTTGATGGCCCTAAAAATGGATTATTGGCCAGTGGGCATAAATTCAGCAGTTGATTCCATCTATCCCGCCTTCTGACCAGAAATACCCGCGATGGAGGAGACGGCACTCGATGCCGCAGCTTTCACCAACCGGAAGTTCACTCCATTTAATGCACGAATTTCGCGCCATTCCCGATGGTCAACTTTGTGAGCGAGTGTGTGTGTGTGTGTTTTGGGCTGCATTTTGAAATACCCTTTAATTTTGGGGGATACTGAGGGTAAAAGTACTGAGGTAAAAGTACAATTGGAATACAAATAAGGAAAATCATAGTACGAAAACTAAAGCTTCAGACATCGCCAATTTTAGTTACTTTATATTATCCATCAATAATACTATTTTTCATGACATTAAAACTGATTTGATTGTTATATAACGTTTTGTAACATATAACATATTTATGGGCTATGTTGCCCATACAAAATCCTTGTATTTAATTTTCATAATGAAGGGTATTCTCTAGTCTAAA